TTCAAACATCCATTTGGAAAAGATTTAAACCGCTTACTTATCTTAGATTGGGCTAGTTTTCGTAATACCTTGACAATAGCTTACTTTAGGTCATTTACGGTCTTAAACTGCTTACTATATTGAGGTTAACGTTCCCCGGAGATTCTCTATGATGCATAGATCAGGTGACTTTACAGGGTAATCCAAAATCCCTATCTTTGTCGCAGAAAACAAATCTTTCCTTGGCTTGGCTATGTGGATGCTAGCGTTTTCTTGTTCAAAAATCCACACTGGGTCACCCAACTGATTTCCTGATCAAAATTTACGTTTCCCAACATTTATTATAAGTGAACAGATTCAGTGCTGTGATGTAAAAAAACCGTGTAATTTTTTTCTTGGATCCAATGGCCACCTACACCATCACCCTGCATCATCGCATTTGACGTTTTTAGAGTATGGTTTCCTGTTTGCGAAAATCATGCCAGTAGCTGCGTAGCGCATGCAGACCATGTCAATTGAACTTCTTTGTATCACTGATAATACCTTTTACCCAATTTTTGTGCCAAGACATGTGTTTGGTCGAGAATTTCGGTCTTACAAATGTGCGACGTTGCTACAACTACGGAAATCGCCGATTATCTTGTGTGCTAGGTATGGGGAACTTTCTAAAACACGTTTAGCGGTTCGTCGATGTCTAGTGTCTCCTGCAGTAGTCGAAATGCCCGTCGAAAAAAAAGCTTGGTAGTCTTGGGTGAACTTTTTAACAAGAAAACGCTAGCATCGACATAGCCAAGCCAAGGAAAGATTTGTTTTCTGCGACAAAGATAGGGATTTTGGATTACCCTGTAAAGTCATGTGACCTATGCATCATAGAGAATCTCCGAGGAAAGTTAACCTCAATATAGTAAGCAGTTTAAGACCGTAAATGACCTAAAGTAAGCTATTGTCAAGGTATTACGAAAAATAGCCCAATCTGAGATAAGTAAGCGGTTTAAATCTTTTCCAAATGGATGTTTGAAGTCATCTCTAATCATGGTGGAACGTACCATTACTAAATTATTTTTCAAAAAGTAACTTGGGTGCTTTTTACGAAGTGCCTTTAACCTTTTGACGCGCATGAATTTTCCGATTTTTGACATTTGTCTCATTTTCCCCTTATGGGAATTTAATTGGTAGATTTTCTGTATTATTTAATTGGTTACATTAGTTAGCTACTAAAGGAAATATAATTCGTCGACCGTGGTTCATGGGGTCAAGGGATGTGATCATGACGCAGGGTGCCTTTAACCTTTTGTCGCGGAGTGTAATTGTTTTTTTGTTTGGATTTTACAAGTTTGCATTTAACTAACCCCAATGAATTATAAAATAATAGCATTAAAAAGGCGCCGATCAAAGCAGGTGGAGGAAACATTCTGGAGAGGCTAAATAACTCCTAAGCCTGGCTTAATAATTTTCGGAAATACTGCCCAATTACGCCCCTTTTTTGTAACGATTTTTGATCACTTAACTACTAACCATGCACATGTGAGACATGTTTCTCACGGATCTTCTTCAAACCAGCACTAAAATATAAAGGAACTAAACACAAACAATATTTTGTGTGACACTTGAGCACTTCTGCAGAATTCGCAAAATGGCGAAGGTTTTAAATTGGCAAAAACGCGCATTTTCACCAAGCGAAACTATACGGAGTTCACCTCTCCGCTTTTCTCCTGTGCTTCTCTACACCAGGTGATCGGTTTTCGCCTTTCGTTCAAAATTTAGTTTACTATTTTCAGAACCAAGTTCTCATCCGATTTTTCGTCTGTGCTTTTTAAATAATATTTTAACACATTTTAATATTTCAAAGGGACTCAATTAGCTTCTTATCAGTGGGAATTGAAAATAACTGGTTCAGAATTGTGGATTCGATTTTGTTTGCATCGCGTTGTGTTTTTTTTATAGATTTGAATGACAAAACTCGTATGAATTTCTGTAATGTTAGCCCTTATCACACAGGAAACTTGGTATATTTGGTTTTATTTCCAAATAAAAACATGCATTGTGAAAGAAATTTAAAAAAATCGAGTCGACTATTCTGAAGTTCAGAAATTCTGTAATAATTTCCATTTGCGAAGTTAATTGAATCCATTTAAAATGTTAAAAATTGTTAATAAGTTATTTAAAATCCGGAGATAATAAATCGAGTGAGAACTTGTTTGGGAAATTAATAGTCAATTTTGAACCAAATGTGAAAACGGATGACCTGAGGAGAAGCGGGAGATAAAATCGGAAAGCGGAGAGGTTAACTCTATATAGTGTTTAGTTCCTTGATATTTTAGTGCTGGTTGCAAGATGATTCGTGAGAAACATGTCGGACATGTGCATTGTAAGTGTTATTTTTCGAAATATTATTCTGACTACTATAACCTGATACGTTCCATAAAAAGTGGAGAAAAATGCTCAGGAATTGTGGAACAGCAGAAACGAGTAGACTGAAGAACTCGGAAGCTGTAGCATGAATTTTTATTTGTGACTAAATTTAGGTGTATTTAGGGAGTCATGAAAAGTATGACTTCCCGAATCTAAAACTATTCTTCTAGTGACTAAAATTTTACTTAAAGTGCAGAATGAGGAGCACAAAACTCTCATTCAAACTTAATCTAATTATCTGATTTCTCAGTTACATCCTGTAACTGAGACATCCTCCTTATCACTAATTAGGACTATGTACTCCGTCCTACATATGTGTGCCGATGCTGATAGATAGAAGATAGATTTATTTCAATGAGACGCCCAAATGTATATGAACTTACACCTCAAGGAGTAGTACTATGTGGCCCAGGCAAACTGGTAGTGAAATGAAACGCTGTAGCTACCACAGTTTTTGTGTTACACATTTTGAGTAAATTTTAATGGAAAGCCAGTTAATGTTTGAGTAGAGAACAATTTTTAGCTTTCAAAATTTCCAAATCCTACATTAATGCAGTGCTAAGGAAGCGGACTCGAGACCTAGACTTAAGTGCGCACTGAATCCCTGGATAAATTGCCTCGTAGTCAGTAAGATTTTTCTTAAAGCCTCTGTGTTTTTACGAGGCTTCGAACACACCTTGGCCTCCAAGTTTTACCATCTTTCATATTCCGGGGATTCAAATCTAAAAAGGAGAATAGAAATTCAGGTCGATCAAGTCGAGTTCGAGTTCACCGTAAATTCAAGTCGAAGCCAGTTCGAATCGAGTTGCACAGTCAATTCGACGAGTTCGAGTATTGATTGATTTGTTTACAATTATGCAATTCATTTCTGGGTTATTGCGCGTCAATGTATTCATGAAATCGATTCGACGAGTAGGAAATACGAATTGAAGAACTGAATTGGGCGAATTCGAATTATTGAGGGATTGTACGAATGGATTCGAGTTGACTTGACTGTTTCGAAATTTCACTTTCGATGGAACCCTTTATCAAGCTACACCGGGACACTTCCCAATCGCATGAAGTATTGACTTGAAGAAAATAATTCAAATACAAGTTTTTTCAAAATAACCCTCGCTGGTATTTGTCGATTCCATGGCTGACTCCTAGAAATTTTCAAAAGATCTTTTCTTGAGGCTGGGAATATGAAAAATCCCAAACATTCGGATCATACATATTTGAATATTTTACATTAATAAATGACGTTCATCACTTCTGCATCTTTATGTTTTTCATATCTTTATGTGTTACGATAGATAAGTCATTAAAAAAATTACTTACGTTGCTGATAGATACTTTTGTTGATCGATGCGGTTTTTATCGTTTTTTAAAATTCAGTCTCTAATAACCTTCTTGACTGACTATTCGGACACCCTTTCGTTTTGAACGAAAGAAATAATACTCGTAATTTAACTTCTCCCGTGCTTAATAAAATAAGGAGTCAATAAAAATTCTCCTTCTCAATCAATAAATTACTATTTTAAATGTTGCCCTCTGAAATCTATTTCACGATTCAATGTACAATATAATATTTGAAGCATTTTCGGAAACCTATTGAATTGAGCTATCAGAACCCTACGCTTGTTTTAATTAGTTCCAATAGTGAACGTTACTGCAATCCAATCGGTTTGCACAAATTCATGGAACGAACGTTTGTGGAAATTTTGAAATTTACGGAAGGAAAAAGAATTGTGTCAATTTTTTAAATGAAATGTAAATGCTGGCGTGTAGGTCCTCACAAGCTTCAGGACCTCTGATTTGTGGTTTGGATAATAGTACGCTTCACAGCGTCGGATATAAATATTTATGTAAAAAGTTTGTAGAAGCATCTTAGGAAGGACTTCACAGTAGTATCCACCTCCTACATATGTAAGTCTAAACGCAACGCAATAAGCCAGTCTTACGACAAATTATGAAGCTCATGCTCCGGGCGGTGACTCCTCAGCTTAGAGATTTACTTTTGTACCCATTTACACACCAAAGTTCCACGCGTTGGAAACATTCGTAGGACGATTCATTTGTGGCCATAAGTGGCAAGAATGAGTCTAAAAAATTCTGTCGTTAGGAAAATATGGACCACCACGGGTGCATTTTTCCGCACTCTTACATGGCCGTAAATTGAATTTTTAGCCAAGAAATACTACTTTTCACGCTAGTACACTAATAACGTGTTAGTAGTACACTTCGAAAATTTTGTAAGATTTTCCAGGGTTGGCAGGTGCACTTAAATATTTATGAACCTGGGTCGAGAGAATTGGAATTAATAAATTTTATGGGTCTGTTTTTAAGGTAAGTAAATAACTGTGCCGTGTAAGTACCGGGGAACGTGGTACTGGATGTATATAAAAATTTAAGAAATACTCGGCCGAGCACGCAAAAATACTCCGCCGAGTCCGAGTAGTGACAAGACGGCCAAAACCTGCCGAGTACTCGGTGCATGTCTAGTGTAAACCTGTGGCTGCGTTGAGCCACCTTCTTTGCCCTTCTCTATCTAAAAATACATTTGGTCTACAATTTTTAACAAAAAAAAACCTTGGTTAAGCTTTCTACCGGCTGGAGTTAGTGTTACTACCTTCACGTTGATGGAGGTTGTGGGCTTGAAGCTTTGCCATCATTAAAGAATTAATTCATTAAAGTACGGAAGAAATAAATTCGTAAGTATTTTTTGCGAATTCCTGTAAAAACTAAAAACAGATAATTAAGGAAAAGTGAAGTTCGGGTTTACTAAACTACACATTTCTAGAGATAATTTTCCTCATGGATCCACAGCGAGGAAATGTATTGACATGTTCCACGTGCTTTAAAACATTCAGCACTAAGGAAGGCTTAAAGTATCACATGTTCACACATGACGTAGATGCGAAAATGAAATGCAAGGTAAACGACTAAATTTAAATGGTATTTATACAAAATTGAAACAAATTAAGCTCAGCTACCCATATGTATTTGTACATTGGCTTTTATCCTACACGTCAGCTCTGCGGAAAAATTTCGAAAAATCCAAAAACCTTATCCTCTCACATGAGAATGCTTCACACCAACCGGGACCGACCAAGTTGCGACATTTGTCACCGGGTATTTTTCGCATCTGAAACTTTACGAAGACACGTTGCTACCCAGCACACCACGCTGGAACGACCTCGTTTTCCATGCAGTTTCCCCGGATGCGGGAAAACCTACTTGCTCAAGGGTGATGTCTCGATACACGTAAAAATTGAACACTCCGAGAATCCGACCCGATTCCCGTGCACGCTTTGTGGTAAAGAATTTAAAATCAGAAAAACCCTGGAGACACACATTTCCACCCACACGACGGAGAAGGCCTACGTTTGTTCCACTTGTGGAAGGAGCTTTGGCCAATTGACGGTCATGAAATGTCACGAGGTACTAATTTAAAAGGTTAAAGTTTTGTTGGAACAAATGTAGGAAAATTTTAGCGATGCATAAATCCTTATTTTGCAGACTATACATCTGGAAAAATCAACCCGAAGGATTTTCAAGTGCGAACTTTGTCCTCAGACTTTCTTAGGCAGAGCCATCTTACAAAGGCATGTCCAATTTGTGCATGAAAGGCAGAGGAATCATCCGTGTACATTTTGTGACAAAAGGTTCTCGACATCGGACAATATGAGACGCCACGTGGAGGCGAGACATCCCTCGACTAAGGAGAAGATTCATTCCTGCGACAAATGCAAGTACATGTCTCATTCGAAATTGTATCTAGCACGGCATGCGAGGCGTCACAATCCAGCGATTCGACTAGAGTGCTATTTCTGCAAAAAGCAGTTTATCAGGTTTTCAGAATTGGTGACACACTGTCGACGTCATACTTTAGAATAGGAAATTTGTTTTTATATATCTGATTTTATTATTTGAGCATCGATATGTTCCCATGTACTTGCCTCAATCAATGTTTAAAAATTCGATGATCATTCCCAAAACCCTCATCAGATTAAACAATCATCTGAAATAAAAGCTCACGAAAAATGATATTCTTCAGATGGAGTTCATGCTCATTTACATAGCAATGACCCGCAACCTGTACTACAATTATGAATGAAGTTATGTCTGTTTGTCGAAACTGGTAATAAATAAAGCCAAGTAGTTACTTGAATAAGTATTCAAGTAAAAATTATAGTACTATAATTTTTTGACGTTTATTTTTGACCTGGAACCGCTTTGTCTCATTAAAATTCTACAGTTTTTATTTTAAAAGAACCCTCTTTAAAAATTCCGTGTAAGCTTAAATTAAAATCAATTTAAAACATTTCCCATAAATCTTTCATCGAGATTCCAGGAAATAAATCAAATACACTCTTAGAAAACTGGGATTAAATCATCACTGACAGGGTATATATCTACATATACGACTCTACCTACACACACTGATAGGTATTTGATATATTTTTGATATGTATGTTATAAGAGCGCAAACTGATTTGTCTCACCTAAGAATAAATATTGACCTAATTATAATGCTAACGATAAAAATAAACATTTGTTTACTGCGGCTACTTTTTCGTCCGGCTCCTTTTCCGCCCGGCTCCATCTTCGCCCGGCCCCTTCTTCCACCCTCCTTTTTCGCCGGCTGCTTTTCCCCGAACCAGGCTGCAATCACCTCCGGGCTTTAACGAACATAGATAGAAATAAATAACATTTCACACGTTATTTATTTAAATCTATGGGAAGAGATGCTTGGAATGGTGGCAAAAATGTTGCTTTCAGGCACGATCCTTTTGTGCAGACTATTTGTATTTATTTACTCGGTTGATGATTCTTACATACACACAGGTGAACATTCTTCACCCTTCACTTTCTAAAAATACACTTGCTCTTAAATTTACCACATATGTAAGCTTAGAGCAGGTCAGTCTTTGACTTTCGTGCTGGCAGAGGAAGTACATAAACTTGCAACTTCCGCATTAAATAGTAACTTATATTTCTAATTTGGTGCGGGAAAATCTTTCGCCAAATTATCAAAGGGAAGTGCAGCTCATGTTAATTTATCAATACTGAGGTTGGGGCGTCCCCCTGATAACGTTTTTGACCATTAATATCTTTGGCGCTATTAGAAACTTTGAATTGAAATTTTTAGAATTTGTTCACCTTATAGTCAGCATTATTGGTGTAAAATTTCAATTCGCTAGTGTAAATGGCAGACCTTTCACTAACCCCAAAGTAAAACACTTATGATTTTTTTTGTTCCAGACATAAAGTACCCTATGGGAGCACATGGGGCGGTTGTTGATAACCTAAAAATATCAGGAAATAGCAAATTATGTGACCCCATGTCTGCAGTACACAATAGAGTTTAAATTTTGATAAAAATATTACTGTGTAGAGTTTCAGAGTAAAAGTTATAACAGCCCCCAAAGTGTCAAAATGTCGCTAATTTTTTCCAACTAACTCCATAACACGAAATTAAGTATTTGTACTCCAAAATCTGTTTGTATTACCATCAGTAATGTCTCCTCTAACTGCTAAAATAATTAACATGAAAATATTTCAACTATTGACATTTATAAAATTCCATTTACCACAAAAAAAACTTTTCTCACGCTGGAATGGAATGAGTTAAAAACATTTTGGACGATTTATGAGTTGTTGATGAAAGCCACATAGATGCCAAAAAATTTTCATACCACCCAGATCAAATTCTATGAATAATTCGCAATTCCAGAGTGTTTTAAAAATATTCTGAAATTTAAAAAAATTCAGTTTTGGAAACGCTTTTGAACAGAAACATTTTTTGGATGCATATATCTCTGGTGCCATTTGCACTAGCGAATTGAAATTTTGCACCCATAAATTATGGGCCATAATGTTCACTATTAGGTGAACAAATTCTAAAAATTTCAATTCAAAATTTCTAATAGCGCCAAAGATATTAAAGGTCAAAAACGTTATCAGGGGGACGCCCCAACCTCAGTATTTTCCAATGATGTTAGTAATTGATTGACAGCAAAAGATTTTAAATGGATCCACCACGGGAAAATAGACTGTCGTGTTCCACGTGCTTAAAAGAATTCCCACATATGTCAAAATCAGGGTTAGGAAAAACCCGGGGTTTTACCTCGAAACCAACTACCCTGGGGTTTTACTGGGTTTTGGGGTTTTACTGGGTTTTACTCAATGTTTGGGGTAACTGTACAAAATTGCAATGTTACACTAATTGGTTAAATTAATATATTTTTTCAAGAATTACCATAAAACTTTAATGAAAAATGCCAGGAACACCCAAAAACCACTAATATGATCAAACTCCAAGTGAAGCTGTAAATTGGGATTTCTGGATCATAAATGCAAAATTGAAATAAATATAGAAATTCACAGAATATTAATCAGAGTGCATAATTCGAGTTAAATAAGTACTTGCAAATTGATTCTATTCATTTATCTATTTGAATATGAGATAAAATTTAGTAAAACCCGAGTAAAACCCAGTAAAACCCCAGTAAAACCCCTTTAACATAGTAAAACCCGCTGGGTTTTACTGATTTGCGACCCAGTAAAACCCAGTAAAACCCCAAAACCCCAACCCAGTAAAACCCGGGGTCGGAATACCCTGGTCAAAATTAAACCGTCAAATGGTCACGCATGACGCCCGTGTGAAGGTGAAATGTGAGGTAATAATTTAATAACTTAATTTAATAACTTAGTTTAAAGCATTGAGACGTGTTGTAATATTGAACATCTGTTTTTGTACTATTCTTTAGATCTGCGGGAAGATATTTAAAAATCCACCAGCCTTATCCACCCACATGAGAATGCTTCACACCAAGCGGGACCGACCCAGTTGCGACATTTGTCACCGCATATTTTCCAGATCTGCGACCTTGCAGAGACACATTCATGCCGTACATAGCAAGATCGAGCGACCTCGTTTTCCATGTGAATTTCCCGGATGTGGAAAAACTTACTCGACCGGGGATGGTTTATCGCAACATATACAAACCGAACATGCCGAAAACCCGATCCGATTTCTTTGCACGCTTTGCAGTAAGGAATCCAAAACCAAGCAAAACCTTGAGAAGCACATTTCCACCCACACGACGGAGAATGCCCACGTTTGTTCCACTTGTGGGAGGAGCTTCACCGAATTTGCAGCAATAAAACGTCACGAGGTACAAATAAATATGTTCAAATTCGTTTGCGTAAATAACTACAATTTCATTTCTAGACTTTAGACTCAATTTCAGGAACTAACTTCTGCCAGTTCTCAATTAGTCAGCTTTCTTTAGCAAGTTTACAATGGCTGCTTTTAATGAAGATTTCGTAAAATACGCCATGTTTATAAATCTGCTTAAAAAATTTCTTGCAGTCATTCCTTCCAGCCGGGTTTCTTTCACTTGTGTGCGAATAAGAATTTGCTTATGTCTTTAGCGTACTAACGCAAACATAAACATCTTACCTAGGGTTGCCCCGGGTAGTGCTACTACCCGGTACCCGGCTACCCGGTACCCGGCTACCCGGTACTCGGCCTGAAATTTTTGCCGGGTACCCGGCTACCCGGCCGGGTACCGGGTAACATATTTATTTTAAAAATAACGGAAATTTTTCTACTTTTTCTTGAGTTTGCAACAATTTTATAAGCTTTAAAAATTACATGTTAAATTTCTACAGTGCAAACTTCATTTTCAACCTCCATACCAAATTTCAGATGGGATTAATATTTTTTTTAATTGATATGGGTCAACTTCTCTATGGTTACACTCACTATGGTTACACTTTGCTCCCCTAATCCAATACGTCCCCCACAGGTCAACTAGGTAACCGATGTAGCCCATCTTTGAACTTGTTTCTTATATCTTTGTCCAATATATGTACATATGGTAAAAATGTCAACTTCTCAGGCTATTACAGAAATCCAAGAATCATGTTGGACACACAAAGAGCGTACTCACGACAGCATCGCAATCATTTAGCAAACTTGTTTGGCTTAAAAAGTTATTTCTTGACGGGATTCGTATCACCTCACTAAACAAATTTTGCGAGACTTTCGAGGTGATATCCTGCTGGCAAAACACTTCGAAAGTCTTGCAAATCAAATAAGTCCATTTTGATCCTTTTGTCATGGATGTTCGAAATTTCTCTCGGTGATGATCCCGAGGATGAGTCTGCGAAACAGTGTTACGAAAAAATATAGCTTTTTAGCAGAAGCTTTGAGAAATCTTATAGATTTCTAAAAACTTCGCAACTCATGTTTTATGTGCAAAATATGCAAATTCATTGATTGATAACTCGTTGACGTGAGTGCGTTCAAAGTAATTTTAAAATTTGTATGGTAATTTCCAAATAAGTGTCGGCCGAGGTTGTACCCATCCTCTCCAAATATATTATTTTATATCAAGTACAAAATTTTGAAATCCATCGGATTATATTTTTTGTATAATTTTGCATTTTAAGTAAGAAAATTGAATATTTAAATTACCCGGCCGGGTAGACCGGGTACCTAAATATACCCGGCCGGGTACCGGGTATCCCAAAACAAGCTGGGTATGCCGGGTACCGGGTAGCTACCCGGTACCCGGGCAACCCTAATCTTAACCAATTTAGCATATATGCCTGCGCACCAGAGGTGCGTTATTTAAATAAGGTTTTATTTAAATAAGGCTTAAATAACGCTTGAAAATTATTTACCTAGTCGGAAACACTCAAGTGTCAACAGCTGATTGCTAAAAAACTACGCCGCAGAATTAAAATCTGATAAGTGCATTAGATTCGCCATGCGTTTTACATCATGATTCACTATGGACTTTGTAATTTTTGAACATCTGGATAAATATCTAGGAAATTGAAGAGAAGCGGGCGGCGATAGTTTTTCACAACAAAAAATCGAAGAAAAATAGTGAATTTGACATGTGATAAAAAAGTCAAAGGTGTACTTTGATTTAGCCCAAGGGACAATAAAAACGTTCGTTAGGACCGAATCGACTAAGAACAGTCGAAGAATTTTTTTTATAAAACCTACAAGAACCACACCCATGCTGAAGGCGCCGAAGGTTGAAATCCGAAGAAATTCACGAAATTTCAAGGGAAACCGGGCTGACAGCTGACAGTGTAGAAGCATATTATCCAACGAGTGCTCAAATTGAAGCTTAGGCTTAAGGCTTTGAAATGTGGTAGTTGCCACATTC